CTTTTTCATCATTATTATAATTAGCACCACAACCCAGTGACTCATATGATTATGCAACTCATAACACTAAATAAAACTGATATTATTGACTATTATATAATAATTGTTCAAGAAGAAAGAACTTATTGACTAGATGAGCATTTTCTTATTAAATACTGTTTTCTTTGGAGACACACTTTTTCAAAACATTGAATTTGACCAAAAGAGAAGAGGTCTTTGAGAATCAAGATTTGTGAAATCATCAACTGAAGCAATGACCAAGACCTTGAGTGGAATGGGAGTCATGAAAGAAAAGATGGAAAGGTAAGGTGGTACATGAATTAGAACTTGAATAATGCCAATGATTTAGACACTGATGGAGTGAAGAATACTCAGAAAAAGGGAACTGCTTGCACAAAAGCAAGAAGAAGCATATGAGGGCACCTTTGAGAAAATCTAGAGCAGCAATCCTTGGTTATCTGTAAGAGAGGAGAGAATGCCTTGGTTTTAATGCCTTAGAAAAGAAACTCCCTGAGATACATCCTTCAAGATACTCTCTGTTGATGAATCTAAATTGCAGAAATCTTGAAAGAATAATCATGAGATTGTTAATGACAGAAAAATTAAAGGAGTATGTACTTCCTATACTGTAACTTATGCCTATTTCTAAGGTATCTACTACTTCAAGCTGTTAATTATAAAAGCTATGCCTTCAACAAAACCAATAAAAGGGAATAAAAATTATTTATAGCTTTTAATATACCATTTATTTATAAACATATTTCATACATGTTAGCTTTTAAACACCCTGTGACCAAAGCATCAATGTTTCCATTTGCTTCAAGAAATAAACAAGCTGTAATCCCTGTAGATAAACTTGGGTGAAATATATCCAGAATTAAAGTTTGGCTTTAATTTTTCTTCCTAGGCTTTTATATAGCCTACAAACAAGGTAACTGTTCTAATCTTGTAAAAAGAATCATTGTTCAGTTTCAAAACATAGAAAACCTACACTGTGTTGCATTGTGGCTGTCAAAATTAAAGTCATTTCATGTTCATCTTTTCTGCTTTACCAATTTTGGCATTTAGGTGGTTTTGTCTGTCATTACTCACCATGTACTGACTCTGTGAATCAGACAGGATCATGACAAATCTGTTTTGTGATCCCTAAGGAACCAGGATTTTTTGGAAGTGGTAATGTGATGTAAGATCCCAGACACTATCAGGACACCCAGGCCAGAGGCAAGTAGAGTTTTTCATGTGTGCATGAAGTTTATTAGCAACAATAGCAAGTCAGGAGGATCTATGCCTGGTATGAATGATTGAATGAAGTTCAAGTGTGAGTCAGAGCATAGGAAAGATTATCCAAAGCTATGTTTCTTGTACTCAATAATCTTTCTTAATGCCCTTGTATCATGATGCAGTATTAATGCAATTGCTCCCAATCACCTCCACATTAGATAATAACATTTACTTTCTTCCTAATGATTAATAAATTTGTCCAAGCCAGCTGGGGTGACACCACTACAGAATGGGAGAGTTAGACAGGTGGTTACAGAATGCTGGCTTTCTTGTTCAGGTGTGTCATCTATTAAGAACACATTCTTTGCTTTGGCTAAGATACTGTACCTGTGCTCCAGAGTCGCTTCATCTCTGAACTTTGCATTACCCATTTATCTTGTCAGTTCACCCTGTTACTAAATTCTATCTGCCCTCCAACCCCTTTCCCATTATAACCCCAATATCATTTAGGATAAATAAAGGATAATTTGGCTAATTATACAAAAAGTCAGAGAATAGTGATAACTGGACAACTGATATTTTTTTTCAGTAACTGAGGATTAAGTGAGTCTGTCTACATTTTCACATCTTGCTGAAAATTAATCTACTTTTTGTGTTTTTGTCTTGAAATTGCTGAGCATCAATAAGTTGAACAAGAAACCTCACCTTCAGACCTATAAAATGGTAGGAGGAAAGGATATGGGATGGGATGCAACTGAGCTCAGCCTTATCATGTAGCATTTTTCTTACTGTTTTTAATATTGTTTTATTTTGTTGGTGTTTCTTTGTCTAAAAAGTCCAAAGCTGTAAGCATAACTAAATGGGAGATCTGATTGACATTTTAGGACACTGAATAGTAGACCAGGAATTCCACTATTATTACAGAGCTCTGTCCTCTTCCAAATATCCTGTTAAAGTAGTCCCATAGAACCCGTTTACCAAATATGTGCATGATGCAAAACTCTGAATTAGAAGTAACATGGAATAGCAAAGTCAATATTAAAAAGATTGCAATCAGCTGAAAACATGAACAGAGATGAACAAAATTACAGCCAAAAAAAAAAAAACATATAAGATCAAAGATACATTTGCTTGGAAATTTTTTGTAATCTTAAAAAAATCAGTTGTTCAAGCACACAACTATTCTTCAACAGTTCATTTGAGTTTGGGATTCCCATTAATAAAGACCCAATGTAGCCTATAGCGTGACAAGTCTCAAGTGGTATGAGGCTGAATTTCTACAATTTTGATGGTAGGGTTCTGCTACATTTTATCAGTCCATATCTGTTTGGTGGTTAGGAAGGTGTGTGAAAAATCTTCAATTAAAAGAACTGCTTATTGACAGGATGAACCAAGATGGCAATAGAGGAGTTTCTTATTTCTCTCCTGAGAGGATTATCTAAAAACTAACCATGAGGACACTGCACCAAGAGAGTTCACAACTTGAGGTAAAACTGGAACATCCACTGGCTATGATAGAAAAAAAGATACAGAGAAGAGTATCACACTTCTTTGAACAGGAGGTGGCTAGGAATAAATGTCATACAAAAGCAGTGCTACCAACTTAACTAGGGGCTTTGAGAGACGGAGCACTAAACGGATGGAGTCACACACCCCTGACTGATGAATGGAGGCCACACCCTTAAATGAAGAGAAGGTTGTGCAGAGAAGTGTGGATGCTTCCCACAGGCCAAGCTGAGTCCTTGGCAAAAAGAATAAAGACAAAGCACTAGACCGCATTCCCCCCCTCCCCCTATACTCTTTGTGACAGTGCTGAGCTCACGAAGTGCACTGACAGTACACAGACTCTCAGATTCTCAGCAATGGAATTCCGAAATGCAGGAATATCAACAGTGCATCTGACAGGAGCCAGTCATCCTCCACACTCAGCACATTCACACCAGCCACTGTATTTCTGCAGGCCCATGCCCCACTCTCTGACTCAGTACTTTTAATATCAGTACTTTTAATATCTGTAGGTCATAGGACCTACAGAAGCTGTTAAAAGCCAGAAAAACTAAAAGTCAAATAAAACACAGCATCACTACTGGAAAAATAAAAGTAATGCAACTCTCAAAGTTACTATTATACGTGTGTGTGTGTGTGTGTGTGTGTGTGTGTGTGTGTTTTAATGAGGATATCTAAAGCAGCAAATGGGGAATAAAAAGCTGCATAACCTGACACCTTGAAACCTCAAGGATTATCACAAGGAGAGAACCACAAGGAGAGAACAACTCTCCAGAATCCAATAATGAAGATATGGAAGATTTTATCCTCTTATCAGGTAGAGAATTCTAAATAGGTATGATAAAAAAAAATTCAAAGGAATTGAAGTGATACAAAGTAACTCTGAAAATCTATTTAAACAGATACAAAAAAATCAGCAAATGAATGAACTTAGAAATAAAATTAATGAATAGAAAATAAAATTCAAGTTTTAACAAGAAAATAATGGTTTTCCAGGGAGTAAAAATATCAATAGAGGAAATAAAAATTTGTGAGAAATCTATGAAAACTGAATATACTACCTGGAAGTTAATCAGTGACTTTGCAGTAATAATGCACAAAGATTCAAGGTGGAAGAATAAAGAGAAATACAAGGAGGGGGGGATGAAGAAAAACTTACAGAACTGTGTGAGCCACAGGAAAGGGAACATGGGTATTTCAGAAGGGGAAGAAAGAGAGAAAGGAAGATGGACATTTCAAGGAAATAATAGAGGAAAACTAATGAAACCTGGGAAAGGACAAAACACCCTAGTCCATGAAGCTGAGGGTGCAAATGTTCCTCTAAACGTAGAGGACACCACCAAGACACATAGTAGTGAAACTGAAACACGGTAGGGAGGGCCACAGAAGAGGCCACAGGGCAGGAGGCTGGAGGGATGGTGCAGCCCCTGCGTGCCCAGGCTCTGACACCAGAGAACCATGAAAAAGCCCCAAAAGGCCAAAAACCAGAACCAACAGCTATGGCCAGACACAGGCCGGTGCCGGGGGAGGACACGGCACTGTCCGGGGTCTCCCCACAGGACTGCAGGTGGCCACGGGCTTCAGGAACCACCACCATGGGGTTTATTTTACAAACAGGGGAGACAAAGAGCATCCACAAGAGGCGGCCTCTCCCAGGAGCCACCGTGGGTCTGGGCCAAGCCGCCGGTGCTGAGGCCCCCAGGCCCAGAGGTGGGTCAGCGCCGTGTCCAGGCTCTCCGGACGGTCGGGATGCACCCACACACACCCCTGGAGACACGGGCCGGGCCTCTGGCTCTGCTCAGGCCAGGCCAGGCCAGGGCAGGCCATGCGGGAGCGTCCTTGGCTCCGCACGCTCCCTGGGCAGCTGCTGGACATGGCTTCTCCTCTCTCCAGGGGCTGGCACCGCCTCTCCCCTCAATGAGCACCAACCCTGGCTTATAGCCTCTTTCAGGGGCCCCACCCACAAGTCTGATTAGACCATTTTTTCAATCCTGTGGCTGATTGGACCATATACCAGTCAGCCTACAGCACCTGATTGGTCCATTCCACAACCTAGGAAATGCACTTTACATAAAAGGTCTCTGAGGAGCAGCTGCCACAACTGACTTGTGGTGAGAGGCTGGGTCCTGGTAGCAAAAGTCTGGTTGGACCATTTAGCACCAATCAGCTCATAGCTCGCACCTGATTGGTCCATTCCATGATCCAGGAAGTACACTGTGACATAAAAGGTCTCTGAGGAGCAGCTGCCACAACCACTTGTGGTGGAGCAGCATGTAGAAAACACCCCTGCCCCTGCCCACTCCCACCGCTGAGGCGGCTGAGTTCAGGTAACAAACTAGAGACAAAGAAAAAATATTAACTTAATTTTTGTATATGGCATGTCACTGTAGTCTCATTTCATTCTTTTGCATGTGGCTGTCCAGTTTACCCAACGCCATTTAGTGAAGAGACTTTACTTTCTCCAGTATATACTCTTGGTTCTTTTATTGTAGATGAACTCTCCATCTAAGTGTGAGATTTTTCTGGGGTCTCAATTCTATTTCGTTGGTTTGTGTGTTGATTTTTATTCTAATACCACACTCTTTGACTGTTTTGGCTTTGTAATATAGTTTGAAGTCTGAGGGTGTGATCCCAAATTTCCCCTCCATTTTCATCAGGATTGTTTTGACTGTTCAGGGTCTTTTGTAGTTCCATATAAATTTCAGTAATGTTTGATTTATTTCTTTGAAGAACATTATTGAAACTTTGACAAGGATACAATGAGTCTCTATATTGCTTCTGTAAAATGAACAGTTTAACAATGTTAATTCTTCCAATCCATGAGCCAGGAAGGCCTTTCTATTTCTTTGTGACTTCTAGTTCTTTTAACAATTTCTGATATTTTTAATTGTACAGATTCTTCACCCCCACTGGTAAATTTACTTCTAGTTATTTTTTAATGGATTTTAAATGGGATTGTTTTCATAATTCCTTTCTCTTCCAATTTGTTGATTACATGTAAGAAAGCAACTGATTTTTTCAATTGATTTTTTAACCTGTAAATTCACTGTGCCATTTTATTATTTATAAAAGTGTTTTAGTGGAGTCTTTAGATTTTTCTGTATGTTATCATTATTTCTATGTATTAGCAAACTATCTGCATATAGTGGTGGTTATATTTCTTTCCCAATCTGAATTCATTTCAACTCTTTCTCTTCCCTAATTATTTCACTAAGACTCAATATTATGTTGAAAAGTAGTGGTGATAGTGAGCATCTTTATCTTGTACCTGATCTTAAAGGAAAAGCTTTCAGTTTTTACCTCGAGTACCATGTTAGTTGTGGGTTTGGATATATATTGAGGTATGTCCCCTCTATCCCCATTTTCAGGAGGATTTTTATCATAAATGGATGTTGAGACTTGTCAAATGGTATCACTGCACATATTGGTACAAGCATATGATTTTCATCTTCCTTTTTTTTTGATGTGGTGAGATTTAAGAAATGTAAATATATCATTTACAATTTAATAGTTTCTCTGCTAATTCTCATCTATTATCAATCACTTCTTACTCTGTCCAGAATTCTCATCTTCTTGGTTTTGTTAAAGCTTGTTCAAATTTGTAATTAAATCAAAAATTCCTAATTTAGAGTCTGTTATTTTTATGAAATGTCTCTCTCTGCTATCTTTAGTGTTTAGCATGGGGGGTCATTTATCAGTCTAGCCTCTCACTTTCTTCTTATAAAGGAGAAAAGATATTTCTGCAACATGACTCTTGATAAAAACTGGAAAATAAAAGGATAGAAAGTAATGCTGCTGAGTGTGATCATGCTTTTAAAAATGTAAAGAATAGTTTTACTCCTCAGAGGAAAGAATTTTCTCCCTTGCATCAGAAATCCCACTGCTGCAGGATGTCTTCTTTCATCCAGAAAGTTCTTCCCAAGGAACAGTTTCTATTCTTGACGCCATCGCTGATTTATTATAAAACATGGATGACCTCTAAGCATAATTACAATGCTAGAATTATGTGATTTCCTATATTAGGAGTTTTAGAAAGCTCCCAGTTCAACTTCAATACTTCTGATTTCTAAGAAACTCCAATTTTCCTTTCATTTCTTTTGTACATATCTTGTTAAAGCAAGTGCTTTCAAAGATATGTAGTAGAGCAACTCAACTTGGTAAGAACTTTGATCTGGATGCAGTTCTGCTGAGTTTGCACAGTTTCTGCTGTAAGTCCTTGGTGTGTTCTAAAGAGACATGTGCCTTAATGTCACAGGGCACTTAGGACATTTAAATCTCTGGACACATTGCTGATTTGCTTCATCCTTGGAGTCTCAGGAAGAGAAACTTGAACATAATTGCAACTCGTGTGTGTGTGTGTGTGTGTGTGTGTGTGTGTGTGATTATATCAGGTAGACTTAACTGAAGCTTGAAGCTTGACAGGGAAAATACCTCACCTTTCCAAAAAAAAAAAAATGTATCAAACAAAGATGGTTTGCTGGATAGGCTAGAATTAAAAACTGTGATCAGAGAAAGCAGAGGTAAAGAGCATGATATGAGGTCATCCTGGAATCCACTTTGACCCCCTCCTCGCCCAGGAACATATGTGCATTTTGAGAAAGGAGGACATGTAATAACCAGATCTGTTGAGGATCTGAGCAGTTTCAGTAGAGCTAAGAAGTAGAATAGGTAGTTCCAGCCCCAGTCAACAACAGGGGAGTAGAAAGCATGGGGTGTGGCTCAGATTAAAAATCCCACCTCTCTGCTAGTAAATTCCTATACATGTACAATGTTTAGGTGAACTGAGGTCCTGGCATTTGATAGGTGGAGGGGACAGATACAGCAACATAGATGTCAGTGGTGCAAGTGAACTATTTACAACATGCGTAGATGGACCCAGGGGACATTCACAGAACTCCTCTTGTGTGAGTTTTATGTCCAGTATTTTAATAGAGCTGGATATAAAAGACTTATACTCTTTGTGTGTGCATGTGTGTGTGTGTTCTATGGTAATTAAACAACAGCTAAAACTCATTAAAACTTCAATGGCTGCCTCTGGGCATTATCTACGTTGGAGATTTACCATTTTTTCACACTGACCCTTTGATAATTCTGTTAAATGTAACTTAACCCAAGTTTATTCAGCAATTATTACATGACCACAAATATTCTTTGGAAATCCAGAGGAAGTATGGAAATAGTAATCGCTATTATTTATTGAATATTGACTATGTAACAGGTATTTAATTATCACAACCATTTTATAAGTTAAATACTATTATTTATAGAATTTTATAGGTAAAAAAACTGAGGTTCAGAACAATCCAGTAAATTTCCCAGGATCATTTGGCTAGTGAGTGGCAGAGTCGACATTCCTAGAATGTGTCTGACATCAAAGAACTTAAAATTTCTGTTGGAAATAATCTGAGGTGACAATCCCAAAAAGTGAGCTTGGTTTATTTTACTGTGCAAATTAAAGTACTGGTGGAGCTCAGATCTCAAAACCTGCTTTGTAACAGCAGGTTTTGTAACAGCTTATTTAAAACAAACAAACAAAACAAAAGAAAATAGTGTGTAGCTAATTCTCATGCCTGAAAAGCAAAAAAGCATCTCTCTAGTCCATATCACTTGGATGTGGCTTGATTACCCTCCACTCTTAACCTTTTGTAAGCCAGTCTATTTGTTTTGAAACCAAACTCCAAATTCAAGCTAAAAAACAAAAAACAACTATTTAAATTGACCTGCTCTGAGAAGCACTGATAGTCCTGATAATGATTAGCCTGCCGGGAACAATTGGAATGACCTTGAGGTAGAAAGACTGACCTTTGGGTCAGAATACACATTTGGCTTTATGCACAGTGAACGCACAGATGACACCAGGGCAATCAACAACTGCCTGTGAATCCAGTGTGGAAACAAATCACATCTCTTTGGGAGATGGCACAGGGTGATTTGAGGCTGAATGCAAGCTAAGGGGAGGGGCTGAATGGTTAAGTCCTGTAAGAAAGGAAGACAAAAAGCAATTGAGGAGCTGAAGAGAACCTAGGCTCACTGAAGAGGTTGCCTTAATCACACTTATTATTCATATAGAAAATCTAACTGAAAAAAATACTGAAAACAAAAATAACCCTTCCTCTAGTGAGAACTCCAGTATTTCTTCAGAAAGCTGATGGTTTTTGTCCCACAGAACATCAGACTGTCAACAGGGAAAGCCACTTTCCCCTTACAGCAGTGTGTCAGGATGATTAAAATGAGGAAGCAGGAGGTTATGTTCACTGCAGTGTGACAAACTTGGAGTCGCTGCAGAATAGGAGTCAGAGAAGCAATCATAGCAGGGTCAGCAGGTGCAGGGGTGCTAAAAGGGCCAGATGTGCACCTGGAAGGGCAAACAAAGAATCTCCTTCCTCCCCCCTGTGCCACCACCCTGACCTCCAAACACACACTTAGGGCATAAGTTTGTTTCCCCCTTATCAGCTGCTTAGCTCAGCAGCTGCCACCATGGATTTCTGTTTCAGCATCCTGCTTTTCCTAACAGTTGCCTTTGTGTCTAACTTGTGTGTGGGGAGGAGCTTGAGGGGTGGAGAGCAAAACGAAGGAATGGTGTGGTGGCTGTCAGGGCTGAGTGCTTGAATAGAGTTCTTCAAAAGGGGCAGAAAGTAGATTTTTCAAACAACCTCTGGGAGATCCGGAGGCTTAGAAAATACACAAAAAGTACTGATTACCCCTTCCTTCCCTGGTCATTCTGATCGAGGGCATTTTCTTCTTGGAATTCCTGTTGCAGGGCAGAAAAGGAGGCAGGGATGACATGAATTATAGATTGTTTGTGCCTAAACCACTCATGAAGAAGATAAGGTCTGCCCTGTATGTAGGCTGGCCCAGGAAGAGAAGTGAGCCTGTTGAGGGTGAGGGCAGAACAAAATGGAGTCACGCAGGGCATCTGAAGAGAAGAAATGCAATATGTTGTGTCTTCCCTTCTATCTGGAGGCAATTATGTTTGCTATGAGAGCCACTTGAATAGAAGACTAAAGGAATTTATGAAAATATATGTCAGTATTAGGTGATAACAGTATGTCAGATCCAAGAGTCCAGTGAGGCACCTCTATTAGAAATGTAGTTACTTCGAAGATACTCCTTTGTAAAATTTGGTATCTTGTAAAATTAGGTATTAAAAATGTATGGTAATGAAACAGAAGACTAGAGAAATATAATGCAATGCAATACAAAAATAAGAAACATGTTTTCTTTTGCTACCCAACAAAAATTGCTTTATTTCTCTTTGTGGTTTTATTTCTCTTTATTTCTCTTTTCTCTTTTTTTCAAAATGCCAAAGAACTATTTAATTCCACCT